CGCGCACCCCCGGCCAGCGCCCCAAGGCTGGGGAGGCAGGGAGTCCACAGGCATGGGAGGTGGGACTGAGTCCCATCTCCTGGATGTTCTCCCCCTTCCCCCAGCCCCATAGAGAGGTCTCTCCGCCCCCTCGGCAGACATACCTGGGCCAAGCCCTGCAGCTGTCATCTGGGTGGCCATGAGGCGGGAGAGATGCTTGATCTGGGCTTCTGTGCCGGCCGACTCCACGGGGGTGTAGGTGGCTTGGAAGGAGGCAGGCATGGTGTCGGGCAGGTACACCATGCTGATCAGCACCTGGGGCAGGAGAGCCGGGACATGGCAGCAAGGCAGCTGGCTGGAGATCCGGGAAGAGGGGTGGGGGGGCACGGGTCCCTCTGGCACTGCCCCTCCCCAGCCTGCTGAGGCCCCGCCCCCCCAGCACGGCCCTGGGACAGCGGGTTAGAGCCCACCCCACAGGGCGCCCCCTGCTGAGCACTGAGTGTAAGGGCAGCGCACCCCCTGGATCTCCCCCCAGCCCTCCCTCCAACAGCTCGTTAGCTTGTGGGCGGTAACAGGAACCCCTGCCCGAGGCCTGAGGGCCGAACACACCCCTCCCCCGGCAGCGTGTCCATGCCCGGGGGTTAGGACCCGTCAGCACCGAGCCAGGGCCCGGCCGCACCCACCAGATTGGCGACGTTGTCCGGCGTCAGCAGGGGCTGCAGGAACTCGGCCGTGATGTCCGTGTCCGACAGGGGGCTCGTCTGGACGGAGGGCTTGGGCGGCGGCACGGCCGTTTGCTCCAGGTCCTTGTCCTCGTCATCCTCCCCAAGGGACGGCTCTGTGCCGGGGAGCCCTGGCTTAGAGCGGAGGGGCACTGCCAGGGCTGGTGCCGCAGCCCCCCAAGCCCCGCTGGGCCCCGCCAAGTGCCGCATGCCCACAGAGCTGCACCTGTAGAGCTCCAGCAGCGGGGAGGCAGCTTCTGCCCCCTGCCAGCCTTCCCCAGCACAGGGAGGGATCTCACTACCCTAGAAACACCGGCTCTAAGGGCGAGCCGGTTTCTGCACCCTCTGGCCTCCAGGATCCCCAGCTTCGGTGCGCAGTCTGCCACCCAAGGGCCCACATCCAGGGATGTCTGGGATGCCGGGGCTCCCGTGCCCCCACAGCGCCCCCTGCTGGGTGAGGCTGGGAGCTCCTCACCCCAGGCAGCTCCTGCCCCGTCCCCACAGCGCCCCCTGCTGGGAGAGGCTAGGACTGGAGCAGCTGAGAGCTCTGCCACAGCCAGTGTGCCCTGCCCTTCCTCACAGCGCCCCCTGGTGGGAGAGGCTGAGGCTATGAGCCCTCC